ACCCAAGAAAATCTCAATGACCAACATGAGCTCGCACGTACACTCACACACACCTATAATAAAAACAGCACTGAGCACTTAAATTGTACCACGTTGCCCTGACGCTTGCTAACACTAGCAGTGCTGTTTTTTATTCCCAATTCTTTAGTCCACACAACAAATTTACAGGGTCATCATCACAGTTAAAATATAAAGTGATGCCAGCATTTACAGTTAAAAGAGCACATTGTTTTATTCATAAAACTACAGAATGCTACAGATATTTTGGTGATATTTTTCTGAACAACAGAGGTGGCAGAAACAATAGTGAGGAACAGTTTGAATAACTATTGAGGTTATTCAACTGTAACAGATGGATGAGGGGTAAGAAGTCAGACAAACAAAACGCTAAAGATAGACACATACTTACTGCCAGCAATGAAGCAGACAGCCAGTTTGGCAGGCTACCAGTTACAAACCAGAAGCAATTATGGACTGCAATATAGGCAGCCTGGGAAAATCTTTCAAATTGAAAGGACCCTTAGTCCTTTATAGTTAAAGTTTTTAAGTTAGAGTTTTGAACCTAAGGCATTAGATCTCAGAACAAAGCACAAGTCTGTTAGAAACAATGTCAGAACTTTCCAGTGTAGTATTTCATAAGGCTACAAATTCTGTATTTGTTGCATCCAAAGTGCCACATATAAGTTATTTTTTTACTCGAGATTTAATTATTATAATTATTAGCATATCTCACATGCTGTTCAGCCCTTAAAGGCTGTCTTTGTCATACTTAACTGAAAATGATTCTAGTTGATAACAGAACTACAGTAAAACACTTCAATATAATTGCATTAATGAAACTAAGTAAGTATACTTTTTTAATTACACAGGTGTGTGCACATGTTGTTACATACAGGCCATTCACTGGCAGATAAAATCTCTGCTGAGGAAGTTTTGGCAGTGACAAATGTTACACTGACAAATGTTACATGCATCCTCTATATTGTACTTATTTATTAAGACATGAATCTGAAATCCCAAAAGAATTTAATGAAATCTTACAAGTCAGATCTTTCTAGGCTGTCTGTGACTCTTAATCCATTAATATTTGTGGAGTACTTCGTAATCACCTAATTTTGGATACCCTTATTTTTATTTCACCTCATACATTTCCACTATCCTCTCTATCAGGTCATATGATTTAAATAACGTTAAAAGCATTTGGTAAACTTCTGTCCCAGAAATTAAGCAAATAGATATTTCAATAATAAACAATTTTGTTTCACAATTTGTAAATGTGTCAAAAATGTGTAATAAGTATTGTTAAAAAACATTGATGAAGAGTAACCTCATACTAAAACATAGAAAATTCCAATCTATGCAATCTATACCAATTATTATTTGTCTGTTCTTCTTAATTTCAGAAAACTAGACCTACCATTATATTTGATATGTAAAGTTCTATGAAAAAAAGTTCTAAAAAAGACTATGGCACAGGATAAAAGGTAACATTACCCAGGTGTTTCACAGTAACAAAATATTTATTAGCCTTTTTTCCCACTTTTAAAGTACAGTCCTCTAAAATTCTCAATGTAGATTAAAACAATTTGTTTCTCAATCTATGTTCTGTGTAGACACATTACAAATACATATAGTACGGAAACATTTTGAATTTTGAAGTTAATGTACTGTAATCTTTAAAAAACAAAAAATGATTTTGACATCTTATATGTGCAACAGTGTCTGCTCTGTTGTATTTTACACATAACAAGCAGATGAGGGAGATCTTACACCTATTTAAAATGGCAATTTTTCCTTTTTTCTACCCAGGTTTATGACTGCTTTGATAATT